CTTTTATTTCTGTTTCTTGCCTTATTGTACTGATTAGTACTTCCAGTGCAATGTTTAATAGAAATGGCAATATTGTACATCACAGTCATGAACTAAATTTCATGGCAGGAAGCTTTCAATATTTCATTAAGTATGATGTTTGCTATGGTTTTATTTATTTATTTATTTATTTATTTGCTTGCCATCAAATTTGAGTTATTTTCTATTTCTATTTGTTAAGAATTTTTACTTTTTTAAATTAGAAGTAGGTTTGGATATTGTTCCCAATTTTTTCACATTAAGATGATCACATGATTTTTCTTCTTTTTCCTATTCATGAGGTAAAATCTAATTATCAATTGATTTTCTAGTACTAAATTAGCATTGTATTCCTGGACTTTATCATACTTGTTTATGATACATTATCATTTTTAAGTATTGTTATGACATTTCTAAACAGGATCTAGTTTGAACCAATACTATAAACATCTCGATTGACTTGGCTTACACAACTCTAGCTGAAAAATTACACTGTGCAAACTTTCTGCCCACTGGGTACCAAAACTGTTGCAACCAGATCAGCTGCAGACAAAAGCAGCTTTCAAGTGAAATCTTAAATAAGAGGGATCAAGATCCCAAAGCATTTCTTTGAAGAATTTAATATGGGATGAAATATGGTTTTACCAGTATGATCCTGAACACAAGACACAATCAAAGCTATGGCTACCCAGAGGTAGAAGTGGTCCAGTCAAAGCAAAAATGAACTAGTCAAGAGCAAAGGTCAGGACAACAGTCTTTGGGGAATGCTCAAGGCATTTTACTTATTGATCTTCTAGAGGGCCAAGGAATGATAGCATCTGCTTATTAAAAGAGTGTTTTGAGAAAGTTAGTCACAGCTTTAGCAGAAAAAGAGAGAGAGAGAAAAAAACTGCCCAGGAAAGCATCACCAGAAAGTTCTTTTACACGATGAAAAGTCTCCTGCTCATTCCTCTCATCAAACAAGGGCAATTTTGTGAGAGCTTCCCTGGGAAGTCATTAGGCACCCATCTTACAGTACTGATTTGGCTCCTTCTGACTTCTTTTTGTTTCCTAATTTAAAACAAATCTTTAAAGGACACCCATTTTTCTTCAATTAATATCGTAAAAAAAGACCGCATTGATGTGGTTAAATTCCCAGGACCCTCAGTTCTTTAGGGATGGACTAAAGAACTACATCCTACAAAAGTGTCTTGAACTTGATGGAGCTTATGTTGAGAAATAAAGTTTACATTTTTTATTTTTATCTTTTAATTCCATTTTTCCAGGAAATTTTTGAAGTCCCCCATATAATTGTATGATATACATCACTGGTTAATTCCTCTGTCATTATAAATGATTTCTCTTTATAATAAGTAATGCCCCTTGCTTTAAATAATACAATCTTTAAAATTGCTAGCTACACCAGCTTTGCTTTTGGTTAGTGTTTGCATCCTTTTTTCATCCTTTTACTTTAAATCT